CCTAAATCTTCAAAGAAACTACATTTCTATTTTTGACTATTATATTATTATTATGATAATTTCTTTCACTGCCTTTGGTAGTTGTTAAGTTAACACAACAGCTCGGAGGGGCTGACCGCACACAACCTTCATAACCCTTCTATTTGAGTACCAGTAGTCAGGGGATGTTGGTATCTTTCAGGATTCGAACCATTTTATTGAAACTGTGTTTATACTGCAATTCTTCCAATTTTCTGTGGAATATTTGGCATCTGATGTAACCATATTTCATATCATGTAAACTTTTGAACTTGTGTGATCTTTTCATCTTTGCTTATGAGATCATAGATAGGAACTATATTTCATATCATGTAAACTTTTGAACTTGTGTGATCTTTCCCTCTTTGCTTATGAGATAACAGATAGGAACCATATTTCGTATGTAAACTTTTGAACTTGTTTGATCTTTTATTCTTTGCTGATGAGATTACAGATAAAAACCATATTTGTGTCCCTGCCGGTCAATGTCAGTCATATGAAGGAATTTTCAAAGCTGAGTGAACATTATTTTCAAAAACTATCTCCTTTTCCCTACAATTTTAAACAAGAATGAAGTTAAAATAACCATATTTGACGAAAATACAGAAATTTTAATAGTGCGAGGCGAGGAAACACGAAAAGGAGAAAATGGCCTACGAAGTTGAACAACATGTTTATATAGCAATGGGGGGTCTTAGAATTGAGATAGAGACTTAAAATTTAGCAGTTATCTTGGCTATGCCACTACAAGGTAACATACAAAAGTAGAAAACTATTCATTCACAGAGAAAAAACTTATGGACCAAACAAAATTTTCACGAGAATGGACTTCACAACAAATGCAACAAAATATTAAGTACAAGGTACCAGACACTAAATTTTCAAAGTAGCTTTATGTCGAATTCATCCGTTTCATATAAAAGGCCTAATGTCTCCTGAGAATTTTAGTACCATACTTTTACCTTTCAGTCAATGTTTAAGAGAATGGCAGCTGTTTCGATTAAGCATAATAATAAAATATTGCTGAAGTCGTTTACTGGCTGCAACCCCATGTTTGAGTGATAGTAAAAGAGTACCAAGTGCACCAAACATCTCAACATTAAAAGAGTACAGTCACTATAACATAGAAATGAAGCCTAATATTTTTCAAGACCGTGAGGTCTTTACAAATCAGTACTTTATTGCCTCAAACACGATGATCTGTCGTTATTTCAATAGAAAACACCGAGCGTTGTCTCGGCCGGCGTCACACCAGCCTTCTCGGCGAGCCTGCCGGCTCAATACTGTACAGTAGTATACTGAGTGCTCCCGGTAGTTTCGTAGAAGCATTCATGCAAAATAATTCCAAGCCGATGACTTTATTCTAATAGAAAAAGAACTGTTCTTTCTTTTGGTACTTTTTTAGGCGGTATTTTACACATTTCGTGTCAAAAAGGATCTTTGAAAACTTAGACCCTTTTTTCAAGGTTTTCTTTCTAAACTCCAAAGACCAAAAATAATAACCACGGGAAACCACACTCGAAGCTGTATAGTTCTCCGCCCATGAAGAGACGGTATTTAATCATCAATCTTTCTGCAAAGCATTCGGATGCATGTGTGTCAATTTTAAACCGGGGAACCTCGCATTCCGACTGCGAGGAGCTTCCTTTTCCACGGCGATTCTCCAGCTCCGAATACGCGGATATACAAACAACTTACAGTATTATAGCGAAGAAAATCTGAACTTTTACAAGTGTTCAGCTTTTGGTGTTTGATAGCTAAAGAGCAAAGAAACAGAGATCTGAATTACTCCCATTTCACCGAAACCACGCGCTAGGAAGGCCGCGAGTCAGCTTACGTGCCGTGTTTACGCTACCTGATTATGTGTTTGCAATTTCACCATAAACTCACGAGAGCTCTCTCTCTCTCTCTCTTT